TTGATTTCTGCCAGGTAAAATGTCAATTGTGTGAGTTCAAATAATAGTGTGTATGTGTGTGACAATTGTAAGTGTTGATTCAAGTTATGAAGAGTTGTGTGCCTTTGACTGATATGCTAAAGTTGATTAAATGTACAATTACTATTTCGTAGTGATAATGTCACATTTTTAGTAAATTGTAAGTGCAAGTTTTTTTGTATTACTCGGCAATAGTTGTGCGAGTTGTGTTGAGTTGATGAGAAGCTGGTAGTGTTATTGAGTCAGTGTGTTGGCATGCGTGGAGTCTGCTGGCATCTCTCGAAACTCAGTGTCTGACTAACTTGAATTAAGTCGAGCGATTCCTTTAATAGATTTTTGGGTTTTCAAATAGGCTCCAGACAGCTGCGCGGGAAAAAAGGATTTGTCTCAACTTGCTATATTTTTGTGTCCTTTTAACCAATGGGAAGTTGAGTTTCGAAAAATGAAGTGATGATTGGCTAAAGGTTAATTTGCGGAAGAGTGCATCTTCCCGTAGCGGGGGGACAGGCAAGTATGGAGGATTCCATAAAATGATAAAAAAGGTATGGTTCGCGTGTGATAAGAGTTGCATAAGCCACAATCTCTGGCATAATCAATCTGTAATAATTGAAATGTATGTTCTTTATGCAAAAAACAACGAGGAATTTAACAAAATTCAATTCAACTTATTCTGTTAGCGTTTTTTTTTTTTTTTTTTTAAATCAAACGTTGAGTATTGTTCTCTCAATTCTCAAAACGATTGTTGTGAGAGGAAATATTAAAGTGGATTTAGTTCGGATAATTGAAAAATGGAAAAAAAAATGTTCGGACGATTTAAATTCTTCACTTCATTTCATATCCAGATAATCAAAGTCTGGAAAATCGAGTCACGGATACTCGAGTCACGAATAATCGAGACACGGATAATCGAGACACGGCTAGTCGAAGACGTAGTGTAATAAAATATGTCGGTGGGGGGTGGTCATCGTTTACTTTTTACTTTCACAATTTTTTTTCCCAAGGGAGGTAATTTCACGTTTGTTAAATGCTAATCATAGAGTAGTTTCCCTTGTTTATTCATTTAAAAAAAGAAAAGGAAAAGAAAAAGAAAAAAAAACAGAAAAATAAAGGAAAAATGAAGTGCAACCGACGTATTCGCAATATCTTGATATACATGTTTAATTTTAACACGTTAAATTTTAATATTTTGTTATTTGCCTTTTTAAATATCAAATTTACCAATGTTAGCATTTTAAAATGTAGGAGGGACGAAGTTCGCCTATCGTTCGATTCAAGTTCCTCCCCAGTTTTTTGAACAAGGGTAGACGTTTTTATCTCTTCCTTTAGTCTCAGGATTGGTTTTTCGGTTCCTTCCGAAGTCTACTTCAACTCTTTTCTCCTATCATCACGGATTGAGGTCTGCCTAATCAGTTTTTTCAGCTTCTCTCCCAATAGGAGTAGATAGGTTCGTCTATCATGCGGTCCACACTCCTCCCCGGTCTTTTAAACAGGATCAGAGATTTATTCCTTCTTTCCTGTTCAGGATTAGGTTTCCGGTTCCTTCTGAAGTCTACTTCAATTCTTTTCTCCTATCATCACGGATTGAGGTCTGCCTATCAATCTTTTCACCGTTTCTATCAATAGGAGTAGATAGGTTCGTCTATCGTCCGGTCCACACTTCTCCCCGGTCTTTTAAACAGGATTATAGGTTTATTTCTTCTTTCCTGTTCAGGATTGGGTTTCCGGTTCCTTCTGAAGTCTATTTCAATTCTTTTCTCCTGTCACTTAATTCCCAGTGTATGTCGGCAGTTAATACGGGCATGGACACTAAAATAATAATAATAATAATAATAATAATAATATGTTGTTGTAAAGCAACCGCTACCGTTACTGAGCGATGAAAGCGATTCCGAGTCTGAGAGTAGTGAGCGTTCGATCTGCTTGGAGTTAGACCTGCAGGGCAGTGATTCCGATATCAGCAGCCTCCCGGCGGACACAATGTTTACCGACACTCAAACCACAGACGATAGTACGCATGAAGATGAAGCTTGTGTTGTCCCCCTTTCGGTGGGGCACTCGACGGCGACGATCGCCACCTCCTTGCCCTGTTTGTGATCATGAGATCAGGGGGGAGTGTGGGGAAAATTGTGAAAATGGCCTACCTCGGAAACGCCCACGAATCAATTCAATTACCGGACATTACTATCAAACGAATTTCATAAAATCTTTCTCGCATTTCAGGAAAATAGGTTTCTCAAGTCCAGTAAGTATCATTGTCCGATTTACGCTATTTATATTGTTCAGACTGTTTTTTTCTCATATTTATTGTCATATTCACGACTTTTCAGCTGCTTTATACTCCGGTCTTCTGGAATTATACGTTACAATTTTGAACCGAATCCTTTACGTAGTCCACGGGTGTAGATTGATAAATAACCATGTTGAAGCAAACAATGTTGGGATAGATTACCTCTGGCTTAGCCTATATGAAATTTGTAACTGATCTATATACGGAGGTATTTCCTCATTGGGTTCTCCAGACATGCCTGCGTAGTTAATCAGTATTTGATTGGTTTATTTCTTACGGTTTCTCAATCCTTTGCTTGTTATTTAACCCTTTGAGTCCCGCGTTCCTGAACAATTTTAATCCTTCTGCTTGAGCTCCTGAGTCAAAATTTGCAAATAATTGATATGTAATGTTTCACTGTGGATTTTCTTCATTAACGATCTTCCTGACGTCATAGGTTCCCAAGTAGGCATCTATGCAGACGGCACTACTATTTACTCCTGCCTTAAAAACGAATCTAGTGTCGCCGACAAAACTAACCTGACCGTTTGTCTCGAAAAGGAACTCCAATCGGTTGTGGACTGAGGCAGGAATTGGCTGGTTAACTTTAATGCCTCAAAAACAAAACTGCTCTCTGTTATTCACCAGAGAGAACCATCTCCGTCTCCCATTAGAATGTCTGACGCTCAACTCCACGAGAGCACCTCTTTGCGACTGCTCGGTCTCACATTTTCCGCTAACCTGAGATGGAACAAATACGTTGAGTCAATTGCTTCGTCCACCGCAAGGAAAGTTGGCTCCCTGTGCCGCGCCAGGAAATTTTTCTCCCCGGAATCGATCCTTCAAATCTGCCAATCAACCATTCGCCCTTGCATGGAGTATTGCTGCCATATATGGTCTGGAGCCCCTTCTGTTTGTCTCAAGGTCCTTGATAAAATCCAGAGACGGATATGCAATGTAATTTGCCCTGATCTGGAATCTCGTCTGCAGTCGCTCTCTCACAGACGTTCCGTTGCCTCCCTCTGTCTTTTTTACAAATACTTTCATGGTAACTGCTCCGTTGAGTTGCTTTCGCTGGTTCCCAGACTTCATGAATTTAAGCGTTCAACTAGGCTGGCGTCTCGCTCACACCCTTTCACTGTCGAAACTGTTAAATGTAGCCATCTCTTCTACTTCAATAGCTTCATGTCTCGCACTTCTCGCCCGTGGAACTCCCTCTCCATTTCTTGTTTTCCTGATAGCTATAATCTCCAACTATTCAAATGTAACTCTTTGCTCCAACTCTTTGCGTGCTAGTGGTTTCCCGCCTTGCTTGGGGTGGAATGCTTAAAAAAAAATATATAAAATAGTTACAAGTGTTTACTCATGGAGCTGATATGAATGTACGTGAGGAAATCATGGTAAATTGTAGTTTAAAAACAGTAAAATCGACCTTGCTAACCGAAATACTACTGTGTGGCGAAATTGGTAAAACCACGTCAGGCTATATGACTGTTCCGTATAGGATACAGGTTCGATTCCTGTCAGAGGACGCATATTTCCTATGACAATTTCTCGGACATTCAGGCCGGTAGATGTTGTTAACACTGTTTATTATAAACAGAGCATTTACTTAAATGTTTGTATAAACATAAAAATGTCTTAAAATATACATTTATATATATTCCTCATTGGGTGCTCCAGACTTTTGGTCTTGTACCATATCTAAGCTATGCTTAAAAATCATTTAGGACACTTCAACATAGTGTAATGGTTAGCAAGGTTTTCTCGCTAGCTCAATTACGGATGAATAGTGAGTTTGATCCCCCATACTTTAGGCCTTGTGTCACATCCAAGCTACGCGCGCGCGCGCGCAAAAAAAAAATCACCATACACGGAGGTATTTCAAAATTTAGTATTTATTTTTTTAGTCGTTTTACCCCAGGTAAGGCCGTAATAATATTAGAACGCACGGCGATACAGGGACTGAAAGTGAAAGTGAAAGTGAAAGCTGAAGTTACCAGGGAGGTGGGAAGTGCGAGAAACGAAACTGTTGGAGTAGAAATGGTGGTTGCATTTAGCTATTTCAACAGTAAAAAAGTGGGATCTAGTTGCCAATCTAGTAGCACACTTAAATTCATGTAGTCGGGACACCAAGGGAGGAAATTCGTCATAGCAGATGCCATGGAAATAATTGTAGAAAAATCAGATGGAAGCCGAATTCTGAATTTTTAAAATCGATTCAGAATATGAGCCGTCACTGCTTTCATTTCAGTTCCAGATCATAGTTTCTGTTTCGGAAACGTTTATCTTGGGTCCTACTTCTGGGGACACTTGTTAGAGGATGCTGATTTTCTGTACAAGATCACTCCTATGTCAACAACGAATGCCTATGTCATCAGCATAGCACTCCTATTCATCAGTACATTGGCCTCGGTAGGGAAAACAGAACGAGTGACCAGAAAGGAGAATTGAGACCATGCTTCTAAAATCCGCAAGAACGCCGAGGAGGGTGCCAGGTGAATTAGAAAGACTTGCTGCCACTTGATCCCCGACAAGATTACCGGCGTGAAAAACTTCCGGAAGGGTAATGGTACGAAACACACCCAAATAGCCTGAGTCCGAATTTGTTTAATCAATTTCATTTAACGTACAATCGAACGTTAGACGATTCCTAACAATCGGTTCGAGATGCAAACTAATGCAAACGAATACCGTCGACGATTGTGACGAATGAATGGAATCGGGTGGGTGTGAGGAAGGCGGACTTTTTTTTAAAATCGAATTCAAAGCGGAAAGCCGACATGTTTGTTTTTCGACGGATTTGCTCTCGAAGAGTTTGGAGTCAATTAATCCTTCCGTTATCGCCACCCACGCATCATGTTGTTCGAATCGGGAATGTGCCTTTTCTTTTTCCCCAATCTCATCGTTTCGCTCCATGTTTTTTTGTTTGTTTGTTTTTTCTCGCATGGGTTTTTGTCTTTGTCATTTGTTCATTTTTATTTTCTTGTTTTCTTTAATTTTACTTTCTTTCTTTCTTTCTTTCTTTCTTTCTTTCTTTCTTTCGCTCACGCATAATATTCTTTCTTTCTTTCTTTTTTTTAGTCTTTATTTTCTCCACTCACGCTTAATATACCTTCATTCTTTCATCACACTTCATATTCCTTCTTTCTTTCTTTCTTTCACTCACCACTAATATTCCTTCCTTCTTTCTTTCTTTCTTTCTTTCTTTCTTTCTTTCTTTCTTTCTTTCTTTCTTTTACTCAAGATTAATATTCCTTCTTTCTTTCATTAACACATAATATTTTTTCTTTCATTCTTTCTTTCTTTCTTTTGTATATTCTATTCTTTTTCAGTGTTTTTCTTTTTCCATTATTTCTTTCTTTCAGTCACGCATGTTTTTCTTTCTTTCTTTCTTTCTTTCTTTCTTTCTTTCTTTCTTTCTTTCTTTCTTTCTTTCAGGTAGGCGTAATATCCTTCCTTCCTTCCTTCCTTTTAGTCATATGTAATATTCTGCTTTTGTTTGTTTGTTAGTTTGTTTGTTTCTTTCTTTCTATAACTATGTATGTTCGTATATGCATATATTTCAAGTCATGTTTAGTTAATATGATTATGAAAGTCTTTTAATCTCTCTCTCTCTCTCTCTCTCTATATATATATATATATATATATATATATATATATATATATATATTTACCTATGTACGTGTTTGATCCAATTATAAACAAATTCCTGTTTAGTGTGCTAACAAATATTGTATTTTGGGAAATTCTTTTCATGTAATAAAAGACAGAATTAAAAATTTGGTGGATGGGGATTTTAATCAGGGTCGGGCTTAACAAAGTTTATTTTGAGCTTCCGAGTGAACGAACCGGGTGGAATGTGTAAGGAACGGGTGGGGGGAAATCAGCATCCCCATAAAAAAATATACAAACTGCTATAATAAGTACAAGACTGACACAAGAGGGTATACCAACCCATACTTTCACTCACGACTAATATTCTTTCTTTCTTTCTTTCTTTCTTTCTTTCTTTCTTTCACTCACGACTAATATTCCTTTTTTTCTTTCTTTCTTTCTTTCACTCACGACTAATATTCCTTTTTTCTTTCTTTCTTTCTTTCTTTCTTTCTTTCTTTCTTTCTTTCTTTCTTTCACTCACGACTAATATTCCTTCTTTCTTTCTTTCTTTCTTTCTTTCTTTCTTTCTTTCTTTCTTTCTTTCTTTCTTTCTTTCACTCACGACTATTATTCCTTCTTTCTTTCTTTCTTTCTTTCTTTCTTTCTTTCTTTCTTTCTTTCGCTCACGATTAATATTCCTTCTTTCTTTCATTCACACATAATATTCTTTCTTTCATTATTTCTTTCTTTCTTTTCTAAAATCTGTTCTTTTTCAGTTTTTTCTTTTTCCATTCTTTCTTTCTTTCTTTCTTTCTTTCTTTCTTTCTTTCTTTCTTTCAGGTAGTTGTAATATTCTTCTGCTTTTCTTTCTTTTCCCTTTCTTTCTTTCTTTCTTTCTTTCTTTCTTTCTTTCTTTCTTTCTTTCTTTCTTTTACAACCAACCCTATATACATGCAAATCTTTATAAAGCCGTATTGAGCAATGTTAGATCAAAGAAATTTGACAAAACGTAGCCAGTTGACGGTTGTAAAATATGCATTAAGAAGGCATGAACTCAAATCTCCTTGCGCGTTTTCCCACCACCTGATACCAGTTCTATTATTCGAGCATAGCAAAGATAGCTTTATTTATTTATATTATTGGCATAGTTCGGACTGTTGTCCTCATCTTTATTGCCACAATCACGACGTTTCGGTTGATGTACGCTCCGGCATTCTTCAGTTGATATTTGTTGGAATTTGGAACCTTTATTTAGTCTACCGAGGTATATTGTTCTAATTCCACGTGCCGTGCCTTTTGATGTCTCAGATTTTAGTTGATTCCCCTTGATAACTATTCGCCACGGTAAAGAGTTGGACATAGGTTCCTCTACTGATTATGAAATCACTAATCTTGGGTTCCAGGGTTTTCCTTTGGAATATTATTAACCTGAACGATGAGTTGATACGAGTATTATAACAATAACTCTACAAGATTCTTTTTTTTCTCTCCATTTGGGCCAGGCATTGAATTCACAACTCTTTGGATCAAGTCACTCTTTGATCAATCAACTAACACCTTTATCCACTGAACCATGCAAAGACTAAATAAAGTGTTCGCTTCAAAATTCCAAAAGATATTAGCTGAAGAAGGCCGGAGCGTACAACGGCCGAAACGTTGTGAATGTGGCAACAAAGATGAGCACAACAGCCCGAACAATGTAAATAAAGTAAATAGTTACGATACCTCATCTCCTAAAAATAGACAGATCCTGAAGAAGGCCGGAGCATACAACGGCTGAAACGTCGTGAATATGGCAATAAAGATGAGCACAGAAGCCCGAATAATGTACATTGTGTAAGTAGTTGCAATATAGAAATGTAGCAAAGATCATCTTATTTATTAATAAAACTTTCTTTTATTCATTCGAATTGTTTTATTTATTTAATAGGCGCTGTGAAAATTCCCAATAGGATAATCACATTCATCGGATAGTAATCGAGTTATAGGAGTTTAAAAAAAGATTGGGGCTTTTGGAAAATTGCTAAAAATTGAAGGATATGTGCCTTTGAAAAAGGCCCATAACCTAACTTCGGGCCAAATGGACTGTCACTACCGGATGGGACGCTTCATCACCGCCGAGTCAACACCTACAAACCAGTGTAAAAGTAAGGTTTTTCAATTTCTTTTCTTATACAAGGTGTCCATAAAGTACGTGTGCACTTTAAAAAATTTAAAACTTTATTTGTATTTGCGATAGAAATAATCTGTAAAAAAATGTTATAAAGTTTAATGTACCTAGTTTTAAGTATAGCTAAAATAACTAATGTGATTTCAGGCATTACTGTAAATCAGTTGGCAAATGTTTTCCGTCAACTGCAAAATCATATTACCCTTTGTATTGCTAATAATGGAGGACATGTGGAAACTTAAATAAAATTTCAATAAAACCTTAAAATATATAGATTTACTTCTTTCTAATCCTTTTTTACAAATTATTTCTATCGCAAATACAAATAAAGTAATAAATTTTTTAAAGTGCACACGAACTTTATGGACACCCTGAACTATGAATCATGATTTTTTCCAAATATCTTTATATACATTAAAAATACAGGTCTCAATTTAATGTTTTTTTTTCTTTCATAGATTTTCAGTTTGTGAATAGAGTCAACTCTGAAAACCAACCCTCAGTCTATATGGCAAAAAACATTAAAAATTCTTATTATGGCTTAACTGATACAAACACATAACTTAAATGAACTTATATCCTCATTGTGCTGTTAACTGGGTAAAATATCTTTTCCTAAACTCTCTCAGTTACAAATGAATAAGCTTTTTCAAAGCATAAAAAACTGGGGTAAAAGAGATATAACTTTTGTTTTGTATTTTTTTTTAACTCTAGGAAGTCAATATTGTACTCATTGGAATGTACATATATACTGTTTTCTCAAATGATTAGAAGATTTCTTTTCTACTTGCAACTAAGTTTTTTTTTTATATAAAAGAACATTAAGGGTCATATTTGTTATTCCAGAGAGTGGACATTTCAAAACCTCTAATTTAACACTGGCCAACCTGTGTTGACTGTCATAGTGTGCACATCTCTTAGATCAGCTTTGAGTTGTAGAAATTCTGAAAGTTTGACTGTCTGTCTGAGTAATTTATTAGTTACAACAGCCTATTTGGTTGACTAGTGTTTAATTTTCAAACTTTTCATCACACCAAAAATGGAAATTCTTAGTCAAAGAGGAAAAGAAAAATTGCACACAAAAGCCATTTATTTGTATTTGTTAAATTTAGTAAAAGAGATAGCAACATAAAACTGTGGTGTTGTGATCAAGACTCTAGGTGCAATGCAAAGATTGGAGCATTTAGCAAGGAAGTAAACAAGCATTCCCACAATTCATCAGCAGCCAATGTAGAAGAGGACAAAGTACACACAGCCCTGAAATGCCATGCCAAAGAGACTATTGAAAAGCCAAGTAAATAAAGACATGTATTAAAAATGATCCTTAATAAATTACTTTTATTCAGTTTTAAAAAAGTTATGTTTAAAAATTATCTTTAATAAATTACTTTTATTTGTTTTTAAAAAGTCAACGAAAAATTTTTCGTTGAGTCGGCGGTGTCGAGTCGGCGGTGTCGAGTCGGCGGTGATGAGAAGTACTGCACCCTTTTCTCTAGCTGTCTGCCAGTGCAGCTAGTAAATCTCCGTTGCAGATACCTGCTCGGACACTTTTGTGTTTGCCCAACACCCACAGAACCCACTTGCGTTCTTTACTGCTGAGTTACAGTTTCTGGGAGAGAGTGCACAATCTGGCGTGATCAGCAGTTTCAGCAAGACCCTGGTCACGATGACTTGATGGTTGGGCTAGGTACGCATACCCGTCACAACCATCAAACGGCTCCCGAACAGTACCGTCTACCCAGTTTCATTCACAAAGTTTAGTTAGGTCAATTGCTAGGTCATTTGCTAAGAAAGATTTTTCAGTATGTCGTGCGAGATAATTTTTTCTCTCCAGAAGATATTTTATCTATATCGTCCATGTTTAGCATACTGCTGCCACATATGGTCCGCTGTTCCTGCGATTTATTTAGAGCTCCTGGATAAAATCCAAAGAATAATCAGTAATATTATTGATCCTGATTTGACGTCTCGGCTTCATTAACTTTCCCACCACCGTAAAGTTGCTTCCATATGCCCTTTAAAAAAAAAAAAAAAATACTTTCATTATTTACATTATTCAGACTGTTGTCCTCATCTTTGTCGCCATATTTATTACAACGTTTCGGCCTTTCAGTATCTGTCTATATTTCTGAGATGAGGTATTATGTACACTATTTACATTATTCGGACTATTGTCCTCATCTTTGTCGCCATATTTATTACAACGTTTCGGCCGTTCAGTATCTGTCTATATTTCTGAGATGAGGTATTATGTACACTATTTACATTATTCAGACTATTGTCCTCATCTTTGTCGCCATATTTATTACAACGTTTCGGCCGTTCAGTATCTGTCTATATTTGAGATGAGGTATTATGTACACTATTTACATTATTCGGACTATTGTCCTCATCTTTGTCGCCATATTTATTACAACGTTTCGGCCGTTCAGTATCTGTCTATATTTCTGAGATGAGGTATTATGTACACTATTTACATTATTCGGACTATTGTCCACATCTTTGTCGCCATATTTATTACAACGTTTCGGCCTTTTAGTATCTATCTATATTTCTGAGATGAGGTATTATGTACACTATTTACATTATTTGGACTATTGTCCTCATCTTTGTCGCCATATTTATTACAACGTTTCAGCCTTTCAGTATCTGTCTATATTTCGGAGATGAGGTATTATGTACACTATTTACATTATTCGGACTATTATCCTCATCTTTGTCGCCATATTTATTACAACGTTTCAGTTTTTGTAGGACACATGGCACAGTGGATAAAGGTGAGAGGACCCAAAAGAGTGTGAGTTCAATACCCGGTTAAGGCAGTGGAGAACGTGGAGAGGGAAATTAACAGGAGATAACTGATAACTGACATCCATTAAACATGGCACATGGAACTAGAACAGTCTACGCCAGCGAGCGAAATAAAGGGTTTAGTTCAACATTCCAACCACCTGAAGAAGGCCGGCGCGTACAACGGCCGAAACGCTGTAATAAATATGGCAACAGAGATGAGGACAATAGTCCGAATAATGTAAATAGTGTACATAATACCTCATCTCAGAAATATAGACAGATACTGAAAGGCCGAAACGTTGTGATAAATATGGCAACAAAGATGAGGACAATAATCCGAATAATGTAAATAGTGTACATAATACCTCATCTCAGAAATATAGACAGATACTTCAATGGTAATTGTTCGGATGAGCTTTCATAGAGACATTGAGGTATTATGGTGATTGGTGTAAGAATGGTAAGTAAGAATGCGTTGTTTTGTTGTTAGGAATATTGTATTATGTCTGGGTCACTGATTGTGGATAGGTAAGTTTAAATTTAAGACAAAAGAAAACCGTTTTTTTCCCCATTCCCTCATTTGGGACTTGTACGACATTTTGTATTTCCACAAATAAATATCGCTCTTTACTATGGTACCTAGACTTTGTGAATTTAAGCGCAGTACTAGACTGACAACGAAGTCTCATCAATTTTAAAGTTGAGTTGGCTAGATGTAGCTCTAAATTCTATGCCAACAATTTCTTTTCTCACCTGTGGAACTCCCTCGAAGCTCTGTTCTTTCATACTTATTATAAAACCCAGGTTGTGTGTGTGTGTTTGTGTTTGTGTGTGTGTGTGTGTGTGTGTGTCTGTTTCGTTTATATATTGGATCGGATTTCAACAAAACTTTACAGGACTACGTAAAATTACCTTGCGGTGGTTCTGACAGCGCCAAAAATTGGAAAAACTCAATTGTTTTTGCACGAAATCAATTTGAAAACACGATTAAGAGGCCTCGCTGTCGAGAATGAAAGGGGGACAACTCATATCGAGTTATAATTATTATAAAACCCAGGTTGTTTGTGTGTGTGTGTGTTTTTATATATGGGATCGGATTTCCTACATTTTTCAACCGATTTCAAATAAAACTTCACTTTTTTTTGAAGGTAGTGTTTCTTATTGTCTTGCACACTTTTTTTCTTTTTTTTTTTACATTCAGAATGCTTTAAAAATTCCATTTACAAGACAATTGTTTATAATAAAATTCTATTCAATCGGTAGACTCATAACGATTGAAAACAATGTTTTTGTTTGAGTTTGGGTTTGACAAATTCGTAAAAAAACAAAAAAAAAAAACAAACAAAAAAAAAAAAAAACCAAATTAAGACATGCGTGTCCGTCAACCTTAAACAATAATCTTGGTCAATTTTATTTTTCAGTCTTTATGATGGTCGATACTTGATCTATCTCTTACTGTTACATCCCCGGGCAACGCCGGGCTCTACTGCTAGTCTGCAATAATTAAAATGAGGCATCAATCGCTTATCTGCTGTCCTGATCACTCTTTTTGTTCACGCTCCTTAGTTCTGTTTCTGTTTCTAATTCTTCCACACCCAGTAACCAGTTGTGTCTTAGTGGCTTTAAGAGCTTTACTGCCTTGCTTTTAGTGAACTAGGTTAAAAACATAACGAAACAAAAGACACGTGACACTTTCCAACGATGCTGCATGATGGGATAGCCTCTTCAGACCGATAACACCAAAGCCATCTTGAAAAATCGACCATGGTGGGATTCGAACCTTGTCTCGTGATCGTAAATCGAACGTTCAAACCACTCGAGCACGTGCAATATGTGAGATAATAGGGATCGATGATTAAATATGTAAACTAATACCGTCAACGATTGTGACGAATGAATGGAATCGGGTGGTTGTGAGGAAGGCGGACTTTTTCTTTTTAATCGAATTCAAAGCGGAAAGCCGACATGTTTGTTTTTCGATGGATTTGCTCTCGAAGAGTTTGGAGTCAATTAATCCTTCCGTTATCGCCACCCACGCATTATTCTGTTTCAGTCGGGAATGTGCCTTTTCTACCTTTTGCCCCAACCTCATCGTTTTGCGCCATGTTTTTTTTTCTCGCATGGGTTTTTGTCTTGTTCATTTCTATTTTCTTGTTTTCTTTAATTTTACTTTCTTTCTTTTTTCTTTCTTTCTTTCTTTCTTTCTTTCTTTCTTTCTTTCACTTACGCTTAATATTCATTCTTTTTTTCTTTTTAAAATCTATTCTTTTTCAGCGTCTTTCTTTCTCTTTTCTTTCTTTCTTTTAAAACTCTATTCTTTTTTAGCGTCTTTCTTTCTCTTATCTTTCTTTCTGTCTTTCTTTCTTTTTAAAATCTATACTTTTTCAGCACCATTCTTTCTATTATTTTTCTTCCTTTCTTTTTAAAATCTATTCTTTTTTACCGTCTTTCTTTCTTTCTTTCTTTCTTTCTTTCTTTCTTTCTTTCTTTCTTTCTTTTGTAATATCTATTCTTTTTCAGTGTTTTTCTTTCTCCAATCTTTTCATTGTTTCATTCACGTGTAATTTTTCATTTCTTTCTTTCTTTCTTTCTTTCTTTCTTTCTTTCTTTCTTTCTTTCTTTCTTTCTTTCTTTCTGTCACGTGTAATATTCTTTCTTTCTTTCTTTCTTTCTTTCTTTCTTTCTTTCTGTCACGCGTAATATTCTTTCTTTCTTTCTTTCTTTCTTTCTTTCTTTCTTTCTTTCTTTCTGTCTCGTGTAATATTCTTTCTTTCTTTCTTTCTTTTCTTTCTTTCTTTCTTTTCTTTCTTTTCTTTCTTTTCCTCCTTCGTCTTCTTTATTTGTTTTTTCCTTTTGCGACATTTCGTCTTCCCTTCTAGCATTTTATATGCTTCTGTTTCTTTCTTTCTTTCTTTCTTTCTTTCTTTCTTTCTTTCTTTCTTTCTTTCTTTCTTTCTTTTGTAATATCTATTCTTTTTCAGTGTTTTTCTTTCTCCAATCTTTTTATTGTTTCATTTACGTGTAATTTTTTCATTCCTTTCTTTCTTTCTTTCTTTCTTTCTTTCAATTATGCATTATATTCTTTCTTGCTTTCATTCACCTGTTGTATTCATTCTTTCTTTTTTCTTTCAGTCGTGCTTTATTTTTTATTTCTTTAGGTTACGTATTGTATTCTTTCTTTCTTTCTTTCTTTCTTTCTTTCTTTCTTTCTTTCAGTCAGGTGTCCATTTATTGCCAACCCCCGCTTCGCTTAGCCACCCACAAATAACAACAACCCATAAGGTAGATTCTGGTTGATAACACTAGCATCTCATATAGGTCCCTTTATCGAAGACATCTCTGTGTGAGAGAGGCATTTTACACAAAACATCTGGCACCGAGTATAAATCTGTATATTGAAAGTTTTTTTCAAAATAGAATTCGTGATTCGCGCGACTCGGAAAAAAACCTATTACTATTTAAACACCACAAAACTACATCTTAGATTGACAAATCTGAAAATAAATTAAAGACACTTAATGACAAAACCCTTTTGAAAATGGCTAAAGAAGTGGCCGAAGGAACTTGGGACAATAGACACTACGGACAATTTTTACTCTTCTTTACTTTCACCAAACGAAAACAATGTACGAATAATAGAAAACATAATAAAAAATGAATCAAACTTTCCTTGTCTGTCATATTCAACAAAACATGTTTGAAAGAAGAGTTGCTACCCAAATGTAATCATATGCATGCATACATATTCAAACAATAAATAAAATTTAATTATAAACATAATCTCTTATAATTTATACCCTAATACTTAAGATACCACCAAATCAAATAAGAAAAACGGAAATGATACGCAAGTGAAGACAAATAGAAATATTTACGTTACAATTTAAGCAGTAATGATAATAATAATAATAATAATAATAATAATAATAATAATAAAAAGTTATTTAAGTAAAAAAATGAAATAGACTGACATTTTCCAAACTTAAGAAGGCTCAAGAACGCTCAAGAATTACTAAGAGCAGAGACTGTGTGCCAAACCGAATGCCGGATTCCTACATTTGTCTCTGACACTCAAAGTTGAAAGAGATTAAAAGGTATGCAAACAATATGGGGAGAGTTTAAAGAGACTAGAAAAACGAAGGAAAGGGGAAATCACCACGACATTCTACACGTACGCCCATACACATATGCGCTCAAGCAAAGGCATACACACACGCCCACGCGCGCAGACACGCGAACACACACACACACACACACACACACACACACACACACACACACACACACACACTGAAAAAAGAATAACAAATCCACATTGCACCATTGGAAAGTGCATAAATTATTATTTAACTTAGTATAAAATTGACAAAAAACGAGAAAATAAATAGTCAATTGCTGGTATCTCCTGACGAGTAGATGGAGCTGGAGGGCCCGTCTACGAAACCCTAGAGTCGAGATGATGAAAATAATATCAGCCAACTAAGTAACACATTTTATATTTTATATTTGTATTAATCACACACACACACATATATATATTAAGAGATTTTATGTTTATACGTTCTTTTTATAGATACAAATATTTAAGTAAATGCTCTGTTTATTATAAACAGCATTTAACGGCCTGAAAGTCCGAGACATTTTCATAGAAAATATGCATCCTCCGACAGGAATCGAACCTGTATCCTGTATGGAACCGTCATATAGCCTGACGTGCCTTAACCGATTGGGCCACGTTTGGTTAGCAAGGTCGATTTTTACTGTCTTTAAACTTCAATATTCCATGATTTTATCTCATACATTCATATCTGCTCGATGCGTATCCAGATGTAAGCAAATGACGTCATACATTATGAAATGGACAAAGTCCGACAATTATTTTAAGATATTTTTATGTTTATACATTCTTTTTTATAGATACAAATATTTAAGTAATAAACAGTATTAACAACATTTACCGGCCTGAATGTCCGAGAAATTGTCATAGAAAATATGTGTCCTTCGACAGGAATCGAACCTGTATCCTATGCGGAACCGTCATATAGCCCGACGTGCGTTTACCGATTGAGCCACAGAGGAGCGTTTCAGTTAGCAAGGTCGATTTTACTGTTTTCAAACTATAATCTTCCATGATTTTTTCACGTACATTCATATCTGCTCGATGCGTATCCAAATGTAAACAAATGACGTCACACATTATGAAATCAACAAATTCCGACAATTATTTTAAGACATTTTTTTTAATGTTTATACGTTCTTTTTATAGATTACTTTTTTTTTTTAATACTGAACACGAATAAAATAAGAACATACAACAATAACATAAAGAATAATACTCGAAACACGTGTTGACATAACAAGAATTTGTATTTTTCTTTTGCGTAATGTGAATTATTGATATTGGTATCGTGTGTGTTAAAATGTTCTCAGTGTTACTGTCTTTTTTTTTTTTTTTTTGCGTCTTTAAAAGTTTGTGCTTACTTGTTTTTTCTGTTCCGAGAATTTCGTTGGTGAGGATAACGTTTGAAATCGTCAGTTTTCGATTTTCCGGGGCGGGGGATGAAGATACGTATATGTTTACTGCTGCTACTGCCCTCCTTGTAATGGAAGGTCGTTTTTATAATCATGATGTTTCAGATTTTTGAATGATGAAATATCATTATTTTCTATCAGCGCTGATGGCAGGGTTATTTTTAGAATGATGAAATATGATCATCGTTCTGGATCATAACAGAGTTGTCTTATTCAGCGTTGTTGGTCGTGATCAGTTTCTTGATTTTCGATTTCAGTTGGGTAAAAGGATTTTTGTTGACTTTTTAAAATTTGCTGTGATCATCGAGTATTTTTTTTGTATTTGCTCACCCCAACCTCACGAGGACCGGTTGTGACACAAGGTCGGTTTAATGTGGGAAACCCGAGCGCGTACACCCGGGCTAGGAACAAAAATTCCCCCAGTCCCCCGCGACCGTCGGTTGCGCTGGTGTCGGTGTGAGCCCAGCTCCTTCACTCTGGTGCAATTAGAGGGCGCGGCCTCGGGCAACTGCTCCCCAGGGCCGGGCACCTCTCAGTATAATATTTCTTATTTGCGACTCTGTTTTTGACGGAGCAGTCCCTGAGCTCACTCTGCCCAAAGACTGAGAGATGATAAAGTAATTTGTATTTACTCATCCCACCCATCAGGTCATGCTGTGAGACACAAGGTTGGTTTAATGTGATCAGCCCGAGTGCGTAAACCCGGGCTAGGAACAAAAATTCCACAAGCCATCCTCCACCGTCGGTTGCGCTTGTGTCGGTGCGAGCACCGATTCCTGACTCTGGAGCAATGAGAGGGCGCGGTCTCGGATAGCTGTTCCCCAGGGCCGGGCACTTCTCAGTATAATTTTCATCAGTTGCGACTCTGTCGCTTGATGGAGCCGCTCCTGAGCGCACTCTGCCCAAAGACAGGGACGCAATTGAGAGATGATAAATAAATGTGGTGCAAAGTACTTTATAGTAATTTGTATTTAGTCAACCCTCCACGAAGCCAGACTATGAAACAAGGTCGGTTTAATGTGGGAAGCCCGAGCGCGTACACCCGGGCTAGGAACAAAATGCTCTGCCCGAAGACAGAGACGTAACTGAGTTATGATAAATAAGGTGTTACAAACTACTCGAAAGAGTAATTTCCACATCGTCGAGTATTTGCTATATTTTTGAATTATAAAGAGATTTATTTAATGCAACGAAGATATTGGTTTTATCTATTTTCTTTAATTATATGAGTATGTTTACGTATCCCTTTAGCAGCGATTTTAATTGTTTTGCTTGGAGCTTGGGCGAGATTTTTCTTTTGACATGTCTGTCTTTTATTACTTCAGTTTTGAGTAGGTGCCGAATTTTTGGTTTTGTTTTATTAGTTGTTGTTCTTTAAGGTTTTGTATTTTTTTATATAACACTAGCAGCATGACCCGGCGTTGCCCGTCCTTGATTCAAAAGTCATACGACTCATACAGCAATCGCTATCACTTAAAATATTTTTACCCTTCCTTGCCTTTAAAGGAGTGCCCTTTGCCGTGCTGATGTTGCTACATGCCTTACTTCTTAATTGTGGTAATTTCATACAATTTTATTTATGTATTTGCGTGTATTAGTGTGTGTGTGTTTTACATTACAATTGTGATAATGTTCATGTTATAAAAGGGAGTAAGTTATTCCGTAATAGCACAAGTCCTATGATGGAGGGAAGTTATACACGTGTTGTCATCATGACAGTCCTTGGGCGAAGAGATTGAATCTCATTTCTCTTGGTGGGATGTCCGTATTTCCGGCAGGAACAGTCCCTGTTGCATGCTGGGAGTAATTTTATTATTTTGATTTTTTTTTATTTGTTTTAAACGAGGTTTAATTTTTATTTTATTTTATCTATAATATTCGTTATCATTATTATTTTACTAGCAGCATGACCCGGTGTTGCTCGTGCTTGATTCAAAAATCGTACGACTTGTACAGCAATCGCTATCACTTGACTTAAAATATTTTTGCCCTTCTTTGCCTTTAAAGGAGTGCCCTTTGCCGTGCTGATGTTGCTACATGACTTACTTCTTGCCTATCTCACACTGCGAATTTTTTCTAAGCTCTATACTGAACATTAAATCTGTTACAAAAAAAAGAACTAAACAAAATAAACACAAAACGATCAGCTTTAAATAAGGACTCGTAACTGGAAAAACCGAATGAAAAAAGAATGTTAACAACAAATACTTTTCACACCCAACCCAATTCTGCGGAATCAGAATCAACGTTGAGTTTAAGCAAATTTGAGCCAATTGGAGTTAAGTGCCAGGCAGATTTAAATTTTTTCCACTTTGTGACAATGCAGCTATCGATTTTTTTTTTACATGCTAGCCTGCTAGTTAACATTCATGTCAGTCAGCTGTTGGCCAGTAGAAAATGGCCGCAAACACATGAAAACTGCCGTAGACGCATGAAAAATCGATTATTTCCACTATCGATGGAGTTGAAGAAATGCAAAGTCGGTCTTGTCCTTCCATAACTTTGAGCATGTGCATAAAATTTTGGTTCTTTTCATTTTTGCAAACACAAAGAAAACGACAAATTTATCCATAAAAAACATATATATATGTGTAAATGTGATATGTAAACTATCTAAAACCAAATATGCATACACACATAGACCCCGCACAGATACGACACCTTTCATGAATATATGGATTGTTCCAA